ATTGTGACTTCATCACGCATGCGCGGTTATCTCATTGATACCTGCCGGCGGCCATCTTGGTGATTGACGCTGGCAGAGAGAGGAGGGGACGTTCACCCGGCAGGATGAGGTATGCCGCCGGGTCCCCTCCTCCCTCCCAAAACTGTTGGGCTCTTGGTCCATGACCGAGTGCCTGACTTTTCAGAGGGTGTGAAACCAAAATGACTGTCAGTCATTTTGGTGTCACCCCTCCAATGGTGTCACCCCGGTGCAGGCCGAACCCCCCGCACCCCCTTTGTGATGCCATTATCCAGGACCATCATGTAATAATGCGGATGTCCTATCCGTACCCCGTACTGCCGTGAATTTCACTTGCAAATGGCGAGTTTGGGTGTCACCCCCTCTAAAAAGTCAGGCACTAGGTCATGGACTGAGAGCCCGACAGTGTCAGGAGAGAGGAGGGGCCCGGCGGCATACCTCATCAAGCCGTGTGAACATCATTTAGATGACCACGCATGACGTTACGGCGGGGTGTCACCCGGACTCCACCCGGCCTCGGGACGTCCCTGCTGGACTGTCAGAGGTAAAGTCCATGAACCCATTGCACTCGAAACCGCTGTGCCAAAGATAATGAGGTAGGGTGAAATCACTACACACTAAAAAAAAAAGTGCACGAGGGTGCTGTGGTCCTTCTCTAGTGAAGTGCCTTCAATTCCTGAACCCCCCGCCCGGGGCGCAAGGCTCCTGACAGGGACAAGGATGACTTAGGTCCACCTACCCGAAGGCCGGCTGACCCCTCTCCTCTGGGACCTGCTGAAACAGGTCCACCGAGTACTAGGTGGGGGCTCCCCTGAAGAGAGACCCCCGAGTGGGAGGAGGCAGGGAAGCCCAAAGAGGCCACAGAACCTCCTCCGCAACTTCAGGAAGGGCCCCGAAGGTACCCGCACCCTCCGTCATTCTGTGAAGTCAAAAAGTGCAATCGTGCATAAAAATAGTGCGTAAATAAATAAGTGCCAGTGCACAAACGTGGCAGGCCATCCGGCCAAGGCATAAACATTGCCCCTGGTTAGCCAGAAGGCCTGCCCGAGAGGCGTGGTGCAGATAAAGCTTGAGTGCCCCGACCTAGTGCTGGTGAATCACACTGGGGTCCAAACCCAAGTGATTATTCACCACACCCCGAGACGCCACTCCCACAGTACCGCGGGCCTCTGCGCTCCCCGAACACTCCGACCATGCAGCCCCATCCCTACCAGAAGGCATTAGCACCAGAGGGGTTCTGAAGTCTGGCATAAGTCTGCCAGAAGTCTGGCATAACCGGACCAGAATCAACCCAGGAGGAAAGGAAACCTCTCCAGCACCCACCTATTACATCAGAGAATACTGAGGAGCCACTCGGGCCTGTGGACGGAGCCGATCTTCTCTGAAAACTGATAAGAACAGATACTACACTTGATCTTAGCCAAAAGGCCGAGGTCCCGTGCCCGGAACGTGAGGGATCGCATATATAAAGCCTCCTTACGTTCTGGAGCGGGGCGTGGCAGTGCCATTCAAGTCAATGGACACACATACACGACCACCACCACCCACACAGTGCGATCTGCCCCACAGAAATGCCCTGCGTTCCAGCACATTATTCACCGCGGACTTGTGGCTCCCTGTTGGTGCCGCAACTGTCACTTGTCTACTTCCTCCCTCTGTTTCTCTCCTCCGCGGCTGGGACTGGGTGGGAGGAAGTGACATAGTGAGGATAGTTGTCAAACGACAAGCACTTTCGGGGGGCCGCACAGGGTCCCCTTCATCAGGCCCAGAAATGACATTGCAGAAAACTACCACAACCTTCTAGAATGTCATTTCTGGGCCTGATGAAGGGGACCCGGCGCGGCCCCCCGAAAGCTCTTGTCGTTTGAATGACAACTATCAATAAAATGGATTTGCACTGACATGGGGTTTTGGTGCCCGTGTGCCCGTGTGCTGGTGACATCTGTATTGTTGTTTTTTCTGTTGTGAGCGGCGCCATCCGCAGTCACCACAAGCACCCGTTACTTTTGGGATATCCGGTAAGGAGTGCGGCAAGGTACAGTATATGGATACTGCTTTGTATACCCTCCGGCTGGCGTGTGGGCGGGGATGGGAACTGCGGCCGGTCTTTACATTTAAAATTCAGTTTTATGTGTAGCTACCCCGAAAATAAGACCTAGGGCTATCTTCAGGGATTTCTGTAATATAAGACCTACCACCGAACTAGGTCTTATTTTCAGGGTAGGTCTTATATTACAGAAATCCCTGAAGATAGCGCTAGGTCTTACTTTCGGGGTAGGTCTTACTTTCGGGGAAACACTGTAGTACATATCCGGGTTCCTGTGGCACACTGGCATCTTATGGGGCATCTTTCATGTACAGAATGTATATCTGGGGACCAGTGGCACACTGGCATCTTATGGGGCATCTTTCATGTACAGAATGTATATCTGGGGTCCTGTGGCACACTGGCATCTTATATGTACAGAATGTATATCTGGGGACCTGTGGCACACTGGCATCTTATGTGGGCATCTTCTATGTACAGAATGTATATCTGGGGTCCTGTGGCACACTGGCATCTTATGGGGCATCTTTCATGTACAGAATGTATATCTGGGGACCTGTGGCACACTAGTATCTTATGGGGGCATCTTTTATGTACAGAATGCATATCTGGGGACCTGTGGCACACTGGCATCTTATCGGGGCATCTTTTATGTACAGAATGTATATCTGGGGACCTGTGGCACACTGGCGTCTTATGGGGGCATCTTTTATGTACAGAATGTATATCTGGGGACCTGTGGCACACTGGCATCTTATGGGGGGGGGGACATCTATGTACAGAATGTATATGTGGGGTCCTGTGGCACACTGGCATCTTTCATGTACAGAATGTATTCTTGGGGACCTGTGGCACACTAGTATCTTATGGAATCTTTTATGTACAGAATGTATATCTGGGGACCTGTGGCACACTGGCATCTTATGGGGGGGGGGACATCTATGTACAGAATGTATATGTGGGGTCCTGTGGCACACTGGCATCTTTCATGTACAGAATGTATTCTTGGGGACCTGTGGCACACTAGTATCTTATGGGGCATCTTTCATGTACAGAATGTATATCTGGGGACCTGTGGCACACTGGCATCTTATCGGGGCATCTTTCATGTACAGAATGTATATCTGGGGACCTGTGGCACACTGGCATCTTATGGGGGCATCTTCTATGTACAGAATGTATATCTGGGGACCTGTGGCACACTGGCATCTTATGGGGGCATCTTCTATGTACAGAATGTATATCTGGGGACCTGTGGCACACTGGCATCTTATGGGGGCATTTTCTATGTACAGAATGTATAACTGGGGTCCTGTGGCACACTGGCATCTTATGGGGGCTTCTTCTATGTACAGAATGTATATCTGGGGACCTGTGGCACACTAGTATCTTATGTGGGCATCTTCTATGTACAGAATGTATATCTGGGGACCTGTGGCACACTAGTATCTTATGTGGGCATCTTCTATGTACAGAATGTATATCTGGGGACCTGTGGCACACTGGCATCTTATGGGGGCATGGTTTATATCTGGGGATCTGTGGCACACTGGCAAGTAGTGATTACAATGTTCGGGTTTGGGTTGAAGAAAAGGTGACAACCCAAAGTCTTCATGTCAACATGTAAGCAGACTGAGAGAATATCTATCTATCTATTCATATCTCTCTCTCTCTCTCCCTCCCCCTCTCTATCTATCTATCTATCTATCTATCTATCTATCTATTCATTCATCTACTTTCTAGACATCTGCTCTTGGAGGACCTGTGGCACACTAGTATCTTATGTGGGCATCTTCTATGTACAGAATGTATATCTGGGGACCTGTGGCACACTGGCATCTTATGGGGGCATGGTTTATATCTGGGGATCTGTGGCACACTGGCAAGTAGTGATTACAATGTTCGGGTTTGGGTTGAAGAAAAGGTGACAACCCAAAGTCTTCATGTCAACATGTAAGCAGACTGAGAGAATATCTATCTATCTATTCATATCTCTCTCTCTCTCTCCCTCCCCCTCTCTATCTATCTATCTATCTATCTATCTATCTATCTATTCATTCATCTACTTTCTAGACATCTGCTCTTGGCCTTCTTGTCAATGATGGCTACACCTCCAGTCTATCTATCTATCTATCTATCATCTATGATCTATCTTTCCATCTATTTATCTATTACAGGTGTTTATACAGCGCCGACAATTTACGCATGCATTCATACAGGGCCAATTTACCTTCCAGCATGTCTGGAGGAAACCCACGCCAGCACAGGGAGAACATGCAAACTCCTTGCAGATAGTGACCTGGCCGGGATTCGAACCAAGGACCCCCGGCGCTAACCACTACGCCACTGTGCTGTCTGGGACCTATGATCTCTCTTCCTCTTTAGTATACGATGATAAATTACGCTCAGTGTCTGGGCAGTGGACTCCTATTCTTACAGGTACATTTGCTGCCTTCAACCCGAGGAAAAAGTTTACAATTTTAAACAACAACAAAAAAGTCAGCACATTTCATATATATTTACATACACACAAATATACACACACATACATACATACAAATATACACACACACATACAAATATACATACACACATGCAATTGCACTTCTCCCCTTTCATCCATGCCGCCACATTCCTTTTGGTCGGTTTGTTTCCTGTGATACGTGTTCAGACGCTGCACATATGTGAGGACCTGTCATTTCTCATCTCTATATCACTTCCCGTGTTCACCTGTAGGGGGCCCCACATCTTCCATAGGTAGGGCCCTCGCAGCAGACAACCTGTGTAGGTTCAAAATATGATTAGTCATTGGTTGTTTGTGGTGAGGAAGCCCGGCCCCCCGTGAACCCTATTGGCTGCTGGGCTGGTGGCAGCGCAGGATATCACCTGTCATCTGGGGCCCACATGTCAGCTTGGACACTACGGGTTCAAGGTGATCAGCGGAACAAGCCAGCCATGAGAGGTAAGTGTCCCGACTCTGCCCCCCCCAGCACACACGGCACAGACCGTCATTTATCTCTGCGTTCCATCCTTCTATTCTAACGTTGGCCCACTTCTGTTCTATTTATATCTTCTCTATTTCCTCCACCCCAACCAACATCACAGGTGACAAGTGCCCCACTTCTGTCCTCAGGCAGCGAACATTCACTCCCGGAGAATCTCTGCTCCCCAAAACTGACCCTGCTTTTCAGGACTCCCCCATCTACGCAAGGAACTTTCCTAAAGCAGAAGTTCCAACTTCCCTACGATCCCTCAATTCTTTACATGTCATTTTATTTATATATCTATTCATTCATCTACTTTCTAGACATCTGCTCTTGGCCTTCTTGTCAATGATGGCTACACCTCCAGTCTATCTATCTATCTATCTATCATCTATGATCTATCTTTCCATCTATTTATCTATTACAGGTGTTTATACAGCGCCGACAATTTACGCATGCATTCATACAGGGCCAATTTACCTTCCAGCATGTCTGGAGGAAACCCACGCCAGCACAGGGAGAACATGCAAACTCCTTGCAGATAGTGACCTGGCCGGGATTCGAACCAAGGACCCCCGGCGCTAACCACTACGCCACTGTGCTGTCTGGGACCTATGATCTCTCTTCCTCTTTAGTATACGATGATAAATTACGCTCAGTGTCTGGGCAGTGGACTCCTATTCTTACAGGTACATTTGCTGCCTTCAACCCGAGGAAAAAGTTTACAATTTTAAACAACAACAAAAAAGTCAGCACATTTCATATATATTTACATACACACAAATATACACACACATACATACATACAAATATACACACACACATACAAATATACATACACACATGCAATTGCACTTCTCCCCTTTCATCCATGCCGCCACATTCCTTTTGGTCGGTTTGTTTCCTGTGATACGTGTTCAGACGCTGCACATATGTGAGGACCTGTCATTTCTCATCTCTATATCACTTCCCGTGTTCACCTGTAGGGGGCCCCACATCTTCCATAGGTAGGGCCCTCGCAGCAGACAACCTGTGTAGGTTCAAAATATGATTAGTCATTGGTTGTTTGTGGTGAGGAAGCCCGGCCCCCCGTGAACCCTATTGGCTGCTGGGCTGGTGGCAGCGCAGGATATCACCTGTCATCTGGGGCCCACATGTCAGCTTGGACACTACGGGTTCAAGGTGATCAGCGGAACAAGCCAGCCATGAGAGGTAAGTGTCCCGACTCTGCCCCCCCCAGCACACACGGCACAGACCGTCATTTATCTCTGCGTTCCATCCTTCTATTCTAACGTTGGCCCACTTCTGTTCTATTTATATCTTCTCTATTTCCTCCACCCCAACCAACATCACAGGTGACAAGTGCCCCACTTCTGTCCTCAGGCAGCGAACATTCACTCCCGGAGAATCTCTGCTCCCCAAAACTGACCCTGCTTTTCAGGACTCCCCCATCTACGCAAGGAACTTTCCTAAAGCAGAAGTTCCAACTTCCCTACGATCCCTCAATTCTTTACATGTCATTTTATTTATAGTCTATGTGAAGTTATTTACGTAAAATATTGCTATGGAGAGAGAAAGAGCGAGAGTGAGAGATAGATCGATAGATAATAGATGGGGGGAGAGAGAGAGAGATAAATCATAGAGAGATAGATAGATCATAGATAGATAGATAGATCATGGAGAGATGGATAGATAGATCATGGAGAAATAGATAGATCATAGATCATAGATAGATAGATCATAGATAGATAGATCATAGAGAGATAGAAGAAAAGATAGATAGATCATAGAGAGATAGAAGAAAAGATAGATGGATAGAGAGATAGAAGAAAAGATAGATAGATCATAGAGAGATAGAAGAAAAGATAGATGGATAGATAGATAGAAGAAAAGATAGATAGATCATAGAGGGATAGATAGATAGATAGATAGATCATAGAGAGATAGATAGATCATAGAGGGATAGAAGAAAAGATAGATGGATGGATAGATAGACGGATAGATAGATAGAAGAAAAGATAGATAGATCATAGATAGATAGATGGATGGATGGATAGATAGAAGAAAAGATAGATCATAGATAGATAGAAGAAAAGATAGATGGATGGATGGATAGATAGAAGAAAAGATAGATCATAGATAGATAGAAGAAAAGATAGATGGATGGATGGATAGATAGAAGAAAAGATAGATCATAGATAGATAGAAGAAAAGATAGATGGATGGATGGATAGATAGAAGAAAAGATAGATGGATCATAGATAGATGGATAGATAGATGGACGGATGGATGTGTAAAATATCTGGGAATAGCAGGACACAAACACATTCTCGGAGCGGACATTTCTAAACAGGGAAAGGTCGTCATTGGCTCTGTATAGAATTCTCAGGAAAGATTATTTCTGTATCTCTGAAGTGAAATCTTCTTGTCGCCATCACTGATTGTATACAATGTCATCACTAAGACTGATCAGAAAGTTCTCTCACCTACATCTCCATCCTTCCTCGTATCTATCATCACATCTCAGTGAGGTCCTCGGATGATGGGCCTCTGTCCGTCATGCACTGCATTGAGTGAACTCTTCATTCCGGTGTCTGTGGTGCAGCTGATAGGGGGGATTTCTAGCCGCTCGGCAGTCTGGGGGGGAGACACGTAACCAGGTTCTGATTTTAGTATAAGACACACAATACAATGTAACAGATCTCACGGGAAGATAAAGTGAGCAGGACGACGACGGTGCAGCAGTGAACATTCAGTGGGGGGTGGTTTGAGGTCATGTCATACCCAGCTCTCATGAACCAGATAACATCAACTCACTCGGCTCTTGTACGTGATGACGGCGACAAAAACAAAACAATTGCAACATTACTTACTTGTCTGTGAAGGTTCATCAGTCATCCAGGTCATGGTATGTCTGTAAAAAAAGAAGTCAAGGCAGCTGGACTCGCTGTATTTTTTTTGAAGACGTTTCGTTGGTCATCTGACCAGCTTTCTCAGTTCTGAATTGAGAAAGCTGGTCGTATGACCAGCGAAACGTCTTTTAAAAAAACACAGCGAGTGCAGTTGCCTTGACTTTTTTTTTTTTTACCGATATCTGTCTATTTACTTGTCTTGTTGGATTGTAAACATGAAATAGAAATGCTTTTTAGGGTTTTGGTCTGGTTGTATCGTGCCTGGACAGGCCTGTACTTGTATTGTATTGTGCCTGTACAGGCTCTTGCAGTATTGCCTTCCCCCAATGAGTGGTAGTAGAGTCCTGAATCGTCACAGCAGCAGCAAGAAACCTTTCAATAATCCTCAGCGGATAAAAGAGGAAAGTTTGGACTTTCGGGATCCTTGTGGTCCCTTCCTCGGGCGTTATAGAATCCATTGTGCCGAAAGAAGCTTGTGTCCTGCGGTGAACAATAAAGAGTTTGACTTCAAACTCCAATCTTTCCCCTTTATTCAATGAGAGTTCTAGAGTTCTTGCTGCTGCTGCGGCTTTTAACGGGACTCTGCAGCTGGCTATGGAATGCCAAGGTGGACGCAGCATTCCGTACCGGCAGCCAATGGAACGTTCACATCTCCTGGATGCTCTGGGGGCCCATAGATTTACAAGGTGGTCATCACAGCAGAGGACACGATTGGTCCATTTTTATATGGAATAGTTGATAAGTCAATTGTGAATTTAATAATTTCCCGTAAGATAAAGTTGGGGTATTGTGTCTTTTATATCTGCCTGGAGTCTAATATGTCTTTGGTTCTCAAGCATCCAAGTCTCAGTATATCTGTGAAAAAGAAATCAAGGCAACTGGACCTGCTGTATTGAAGACATTTCGCTGGTCATCTGACTAGCTTTCTGAATTCAGAAAGCTGGTCGGATAACCAGCGAAACGTCTTCAAAAACAAAAATACAGCGAGTCCAGTTGCCTGGACTGATTTTTTTTTACAGGTATACCATGACCTGGATAAATGAGAACCTTCGTAGACATCTGGCTTTGGGCTTTGAGGGCATTTCGGAAAGATCGGTGAATGAGAAAAAGATTTGGTTTCGGTGATTGGTTGGTTGGAAGGAATGCCGGGTCACTCTATTGATTATTGGTCAGCATGTCATAGACCTTTGTTATATGAACCCCTACGGGTGGTGTGAGGACTGAGATTTCAGTATATTAGACACTCCGGGGGTTGACTTGCTTCAGCTGTAATGTTCCCCCTTTGTTGTTACTTCCAGCGCCCAATCACAAGCTGAGCAGGTTAAAACGTCTCTTGTACATGATTGGACGCTTTATGCTAAGACAGTTTAGCTTTTAACAAGCGTGAATAATGACCCCCCGTAGTAATTTACGGCTGTGTGTTGTTCTGACTCCCCAACATCAAAGAACAAGATAAAGCTGTAAAACATTTTTTTTTAAGAATGCAAAACAATAAAGACATTTTAAAAATAGAAAACAATAAAGAAATTTTAAAAATAGAAAACAGTAAAGAAATTTAAAAAATAGAAAACAATACAAAGATTTACAAAATAGGAAATAAAGAAATTGAAAAAATACAAAACAGTAAAGAAATGTAAAAAACAGAAAACAATAAAGATATAAAAAAAATACAATAAAGAAAAAAAATACAAAATAATAAAAGACATTTAAAAAAAAGATAATAATAATGACATTAACAAAAACAAAAGAGATTTTAAAAATACAAAATAATAAAGACTTTTTTTAAAATACCAAATAGTAAGGGAATTAAAAAAATACAAATCAATAAAGAAATAAAAAATACAATAAAGAAATGTTAAAAAATACAAAACAATAAAGAAATAAAAAAATACAAAATAATAACAGGAAAATGGTACTACCATACTTACTGCAATTTTCCTTTCCTGACAGCTCCATGACAGCATATCCGTGTGCTGCCACGGAGTTGTCAGGAAAAAGACAATAAGAAAAAAAAAATAGTAAGGGAATAAAAAAAAAAATACAAAATCAAGAAATGAAAAAATACA